ATAATTATTATATGTTTGTGTAAGGTACGTACTCAGAGAAATTTGCCCCAGAACACCTGGCCCCTAAATAAGACACAGGGATCTACAAATCTTATACTCAAGAGTTTGATTTGTGGTGGGTGGGGCGGGGACAGGGGCTGCCTATTAGATGACCCAACTTTCATCCCAAAATCTTCAATTTCTGTTCCTTTGAATTAGTTGAATCCATGGACACGTCTAAAATACTGCAAATAAGTTTTAACAACAAAAGAATAATATTGTAGTTTTATGTTACTAATTAGGAACTTTGATGCATAACTTTTTAAGCTTCCAAAGACTGGCACCATGCTGGCAGAAACAAGGCTCTTCTATGTACGGAATGCCGTCTTTTCTTCAAAAAATATGGAGAGCTACCCCCACTGCAGAAAAATGGAGAGCCTTCTCCAGTCAAACTCAAGTCTATTAAACAAGAAGAGGAGGAGGTAGAACAGTCTCTAAACGGATCACACGTCATGCAGACTCGAAGAAGCAAAGAGGTATTATATTGTTTGTGTTATAACAGATTTTGATATAAATCATCACAGACTGCTTCTATATGCTCCATCGCCAAAACCCGTTTTAGTAAAACTTTAACCAATCCTTCCAATTAACTTTTCCCAAAAAGATAATTTCTCAAGCTTTGCACTTTTAAAATTGTTGATGTTTAAGATAAATTACTTGTATTTTTTATTAATCCTCTTGTTATTGTTGAAATGTGAAATTGACGTGTACTTATAGTATTCTACTCTTGCCCCTTACCTTTACCATTTCTGTTGCTCTTGTATTATTCTCATGATGTCCCACGCTCAGATTTTTAATTGCTCCAAATTCATAATTGTTGTTGCTTTATCCATACTGTTTTTGTTGTCTGACTTTTTGTTATTCTTATTATTTTACTGTTAATATTCTCATATTTTTTAGTATTCCCATTAAATTACAATTACACTTTTTATGTTTGCTAAAGGGCCCAGCATGGCCAGGTGGTTAGGGTGCTCGACTCGCAATCTGTGGGTCGCGGGTTCGAATCCCCGTCCCACCAAACATGCTCGCCCTTTCAGCCGTGGGGGCATTATAATGTGATGGTCAATCCCACTATTCGTTGGTAAAAGAGTAGCCCAAGAGTTGGCGGTGGGTGGTGATGACTAGCTTGCCTTCCCTCTAGTCCTACACTGCTAAATTAGGGACGGCTAGCGCAGATAGCCGTCGTGTAGCTTTGCACGAAAACAATAACAAACAAGCAAACAGTGTTTGCTAAATAATCTAATGTTTATCACATTGTGCTTTAAAACCATGAACAATCAAAATTTATTAAAATATCATACATAGTTAAAAAATAATAAAGAAAATTAATAACTTGACTAAGTTGTTTTGAGTGAAAAACTGGAAATTGTATTTAATTTTTTCCCAAATTTGGAGTGGCACGGTAACAACTCTGAAAGCATTACAACAACACATTTTTTTTACAGCTTCTAAGTAATTCAATGTTTATTGTATTGTGTTTTAAAACCATAAACAAACAAAATTTGATAAGAGCTTTTTATATACTAAAAGAAATTTACGTAAGTTGTTTTGAACCTATTGATTACTAATTCGTTTTCTTTTTCATGGCTGAGCGGGTCTTCAAACCTCAATTTCTGCATCTGCCCAGTGACAGGTTAGGTTAACCCTTTCACTGCATAATTAGATTTCCTAGTCAGTCCCCAATCAGTGTCAATAACATACGTAAATTATGGTAAAAACACAGATAAAATACCGCAATCGGCTAATAGCTCTGTGTGTGGGTGCCTCTTGTCACATTGCTTATCTTGATGTCATGATGTCAATAACATACGTAAATTATGGTAAAAACACAGAGAAAATACCGCAATCGGCTAATAGCTCTGTGTGTGGGTGCCTCTTGTCACATTGCTTATCTTGATGTCATGATGTCAAT